TTGGTGTCGGCGAATCCGTAACGAGGCAGTTAGAGAGCGTGTTTTCGGTTGTGTAACGGGTACTTCCATTGAAGAATGTGTCCAGCACCAGAAGCTGCGTTGGTTGGGTCATGTTTTACGCATGCCGAATCATCGTTTACCGAAAAGAGTACTATTTTCTATACCCGATTCGGAGTGGCGTAAACAGAGAGGTGGCCAACCCATGACCTGGCAGAGGAGTATGAAGGAGATCACGAGACGCTTGGGTGCTGTCGGTGCTACTCGCCTTCCAGGATGGGGACCGCGTGATCCTCACTGTGCCTGGTTGGAGACACTACAAGATATGGCTGCCAACCGATGTCAGTGGCGCTCTTGTTGTCAGTTTCTATCCAGATTGCCTGAGTGAATGTCTGGAGGTGTAGGCACCTAGGAATAATTGTGGTAAGCTAGCACTAAGTCCCTTCCCCGTCCACCTTTACTCTTTTCTTTTCATTGAGGCTTTCAAATAAATCATGGTTGTACGGCAGTGAAGCATCAGTGTTGAACACTGATATCATGCTATCGATGATGATGATGCATATTGATGGTTGAAAGCAGTCATCCAACAGCCACAAGAAGATTAGGGGACCACCCGTAGAAAACAATATGACATGACATCATCCCACATAAGTTAGCTACTCTATAGTAAGTTCAGATGGCGGTCAGACCTCAGGTTTTCTGTGTTACCTATCACAGTGAGTAAAACAGACACTTCAAGCTTCCCCCAATTGCTCCAAACCATATACTAATTGTTGTAAAACGGGGTCCAATTTGACTCTCGCGGTTAAGGAAGACAGCCCTCTCAAGACAGAAGAAACATCACAATAAGGGCCAAAGCAATGCTCCCTCATAAACTGAGAGACATGTCAGCCCTTCCCTGTATAATCAGATTTTCGCGCGATCAAACATTAATCCGAGAATTTAGTTAGAACAGAATGGCGCGTCCCTTGTTATCAAATCGGTTACCCGTCACAAATGGAAGCGTACCCTATCAACTGAAACCGGCCATCCAGTTGAACTGCACTCAATCCATTATCGGTTTATCACAATTGCCTCAAATTATTTCATCGACTTAGAGTGGATAGACCGTACAAAAGGATTGCACTTTCTTGTGCTCTTTACATGCATAAAACAGACAGATAAGACTGTCAAAATCATATTCTCAGGGATACATATATTCCGCTGCAACACCAAACCCGGATAGAGAAACTCACTGGTTTCTTCGCACGGCGCATAGCGTCCGCCCGCCTGCAACAGACCAATGCACTGTCTGTCATGCGCGCCTCCAGCTCGGTCAGAATATCCAAACACGTCCGAACTGGATAGGTTGGTGGTGTGTCCAAATCGGACGGGTATCGGTCTTCGAAACAACCCCAGTGCCAGTGAATGGTTGGTTTGTAGCGCAAATGCAAAGTGCATGCACGCCGCCACACCTCTCGTGCGCCTGGGATGTTGCGTTCAGTTATCTGCGTAGAAAATTTGGAGTGGCAGTAGCTCATGCTTCTCAAGCAGTACTCCCACTGAGATACATAAAGACATTGACCTAATGACTGCTTACATCTCATTTAATAAAAAGCAGATATACAATCACGGACAGAACTATAAAGTGGTAGAGAGGGTGATTTTGAGGCACAGGTGGTCCACCTTTAGAGCAGTTTGGGTCGGGAGGTGGAATAAGGAACACCTGATGGAAGCATCATACAGGCAACTTAGGAATCAACGATATATGTTTTATATCCGACGAAACTGGTAGTTTTTTAACGACTTCTTACTACTAGCTGTTGAAGAAAAACGGGGAGGGAACTACGTCAACACTGATGAAACCCACACTTGCTTCACGAACCAAAACACAAGCATAGAAGTTATCCATATTCGCCACACTTGGATTGAGCATACTTGAGTTGTTTCTCTTCTGCGAGTAGAGTTATCTCTAACGCCTAATCACCAATTGAGGTGACATCATAAGCGTACTTGCGATCAAACTGTCCAGCTCAGCGAACGAACCAACGACCATCTACGCTACCTGAACTACCAATACTCTTCTCAACAGTAAACAAAAGGCACCTTTTAAACCAACCACATCCAGGTAAGCAAAGGCTACTGCAGTTGGATGTGATCCAGCCAAGATGAGCACACAATTCACTATCCATGTTCCATACAAGTTTGTCATTGTCACCCGCATGTTATCAACGGACAAGTGTCGAAGTGCATCATGGAATCGGACCAAATCAGACGTGATGTCTTACTTTGTGCAACCCATAGAAATGACAGCGACTAAGGTGTAAATGACAACTGACTTAAGTCTAGACGAGAGTAACGAGAGTGGCGAAATGGGTGGGTTTTCAAACTGCAGCGGCTCAGACGCTGTAAATGGAAACTTCAGCCTGTCTGGTTGGGAAGAGACGGTAACTATATGCTACTTGTGGGATTCAAGTAGCTTACCGAATGAACCAAATGTCACTGACCCCTTTCCTCCTCTGATCCAAACCAAGGGCCTAGGATTTCGCTCTTATTACAGCTCATCCGTAAGCCACGTCTTCACTATACTGGAGTTGACACTCTGGCAATGTGGAATCTAAGACGAATTTAGTTCCCCACCAGCGTATGCTGGAAGGCTGAACAGGCGAGAACATTCAAACTAGTGCAACATGCTCTCATTGTGAATCCTCGATGACCCAGCAAGCGTCTTCATTCTACCAACTTATGATCCTTACCGAACTAACCCCCTGAATCAATCAGCGTCGAGGTAAGCTGCAGATATCTAGAAGATTCTCTATTACTTGGTGTTGAAAGTTGCGCGAGTACCTGGATCTGTAGTTACATCACTTCCACACGAACAAACTTTTGCCCGTACCTGGGCAATCATCCTCAGTAGTTCGCCATGGTTTACTAGTAACGACGGGATAATGCCAGATGACCGTAAATGGTAGTTCAGTACGGCTGAAGATGAACCTTGCCACAGGGATTCAGATAAGCAAAACAAAGGTCCCACTAGACTACTCGCAACAATTGAATCAATCAATGTTGGAAACCCGAAGGAAAAAGCATTGGCAAATAATTAACGTAAGAAAATACGAAAAGATGAGAACACTTAAATACTTCAAATTATGCGATAACTCACCTCTAAATAGCGCGCATATCGAATCCAAAAGTGTTCATACAACGCACATGGGACCAGACAGCGTTCATACAACACCAGGACGCGACGTTTGGCCAGTTTTCCCGTATCCGAGCTGGCCACGGCATTATCAAGCTCTTCATCAGACATTTCTGGATGTTGTGACTTCAACTCTTCTCGCAAGTTAGCACAAACGGCAGCTGCCTCAGCTTCTTCGAAGCTCAAATATTCGGCCCAGTTAGTGAGTTGCACTTCCTCTAGCGGTTTGACGTGGAAATAGGGACGGCGGATCTGATCAGATAAGAGAACAATAGAGGTACATTCATGTATGTTTTTGCCGGGTAGAAATCACGTGGCACGGGTACGTGCTGCTTCAATTTCAGCAGTTGATGATGAAGAAAAACAAAGAATATCAGTCAAAAAACTGTCATCTTAGAACATGCACTTTGACAGGCAGACCAAACAATGGGTTTAGAACAGACGCAGTAAAGACGATGGACACAGAAGGGAGAGCGTGAACGTACTACGTCCCGTACAAAAAATGAGGAAACACTGGAACCAACCTTTTCTTCAAAGTACCAACGTTTCATAATTTGCGTATAGGTTGCCTGGTAGAGTTGTTCCCGAGAAGCTATCAAAAGTTCCCGGATGGCGGAGCGAGCAGTGTCCGTAATCTGCAGATATCGTTGCGCGGAAATAAAATGATTGAAAGGGCAAACGGATCAGACATGTTCATATCCCCTAGTGAAATGTACAGACGATGAGAGACAACTCATATAGAACAGTACGATCTGTTCAATAAAACCTCGAGAAACAGCTGAGTTCCGTCACACTAAAAAGATGCTATAAAGTGGATCGTTAAAGGATGCAAGTTAATGCGGAGTACCGTAATAGATATGTGGTGCCTTCGTCCAAGCTTCGCGTGCGTCGCGAAGCACGCACCGAAGCACTGTTTTACAGACACATATAGTGCTCACTTGAAAGTTGTAACAATAGCCCGCTTTCAATTCAGATAATCATCTAGACAGGCTACCTATTCCATATACATGTTTGTGCGCTTCCAGATGTCCGCTATTCTCTCCATGTACATACTTCCAGTCGTCTGAATTTACAGACAACCGAAAAAGTTATTTTATCGGCTTAACACGTGCGTCAAATCTTGAAAATATTCGGAGTTGTTTTTAACTGTTTTCTCTCTTCACGCCGTGGACATGACGGCTGCAAAGCAAAAGTGATCAGACCTAGGAAACTAACTCACTACAGGTTTCGTCGTGATTGGGACCGATCTATTGTTTTTGACGTTTCGGCTGGAAGTTACAGCATTGACCAGTTTTGCTTGACAACTGGCTAAGAAGACGATGTTCGCAATGGCAAAATGGTCGTGAACGGCTATCACCAAAAAACTTGTCAAATACCAGCACATGTCAAGCATATCACACGCCTGGTTATCATTTATTAAGGGGTGTGAGCGGACATTTGGAAATGTCCACAAGGCACGCTACCACACAATAAAGTGGAGCGAAGGTGAGTACCACCAAAATGAATGCCGTCCTGGCAGAGGTCCAGATGATCCTATATTAAACGTGGTTGGAAACCCGCCACGAATGTGAACACTCTGTCCTCTCTTGACCTCGCTACCTAGTTAGAGTTTGTCTGTCCCTAGCACGTTGCACCTTCTGTTGAACATGGATCCGAAAGCGTTGAAGTCCCTCTGTCATGTCCAGTCAAAGGCACCAGCACCTTACTCTTAGATGCTTAGTACAAGATCCTCAGATTATTGAGTTGCTTTATTTCCTTGCTGAGCTGAGCTCTCCACTCTCCATGAATGCGCATCCTTTGAATCTTCTGCACTAGTGTACAGCAGTAATCCCGACCTAGAACAACCTCTAAGAATCATGAAGGAGCGTCTCTCGCTATTCACGATTTACTGTGCGACCACTTCTCACGAGCTGTCATGGGCTCCTTTCCTTGCGGCGCTACAGAGTCCGTTGAACGCATTCTGTCGAACTGCGTCGTTGCTCACACCTTTGGTCCTACTGGTCTTCAGAAAAAATATCCAGCATGGACAGAATTAGTTATCCCAGAGATCGCCATTCGACTAATTCTGTTTCACAATTACCCCTCTGTGACTCCAAGTTTTATGTGGTTAATTCAGAATACTACTGCGACATGCGCTCCCTTACTGAACCGAAACATCAACAACTCAGTGCGTTTGACAACACAACTAGGGGGACTTACCCGACCTAGCGCTGCCACCTTGACGTGGTGGTTGGGCTTGAGTGCTGCAATGATCCCGCGGGCTACACTGGCTGGAACTTCGTTCTACAAGGCGCAAACATGACAAGTAGGCCAAAGAGGAGCAGCCATACCAAGAGCAGCGAGAACCCGTACTACGAGTTATGGTGCTACGAGGCGGTCTGTCCTCTGCGACAGGAGTGTAAAGGCAGTAAGGTGTTTCACTCCGGGCGATCAGCATGTCCACATTTACGGAAGCAGCGATGCTGCCTTCCCCCGAGGAAGGACGGGTTAGAAAAGGTCGGTCCAAAAACCGGACACTCCGATCGCCCAACGGTTGACCGTGACCGCCGGCGCATTATCCAATACGGTCGAAATACTTTTAAAGAGCCCGGTGCTGCTCAAAAGGCACCTGCTGTGTGCAGCCGCATCAGGAGTGAGACAGTATTGCCTTATTCCCTGCGCCCCTTGCAGCCGAGCAGGCCAGACTGTTGAGCCATCGGCTCCGAGCAGGGTCCCCAGAGAAAACCCTACATTCTCCCACTGCCTTGTGGGTCAGACTTTTGAGTCAAAGGCTCAAGGTGGGGTACCTAAACCAAAACCCCTTCCTCAGCCTGGGCAAGCGGGAAGTATCATTTGTCCGCGCAGTTCAGCGTCCACCGATGTTCCTCCCCAACCCCTTCCAACCGCACGAGCAAACGTCGCTGGGCCATTTGACTGTCAGTCATCTGACCGGAGGGCCTTATGCTCCTCGCTGCCTACAAACATTAAACAAAATGACAGCTTTCTAAATCCATGAGATCCTTTCTATATAGGAGCTTTTGACGTCCATAATCTATGTCAATTTGGCAAACAGGCAATGCTTGCTGAAATCTTGTACTCCCTTAAAATTGATGTATGATGTGTCTCCGAAACACTCATGCAGACCCGAGCGTGGTTATGCATCTCAGAACACCAAGGATGAACTCAACTCTTTCACATTTCTCCCTTCGGGTGGTCGGTGACCCAGAAGCGATGACTCGTGGAATATATGGCGTGGGAGTGAATCACATTTAGGTGGTCGATGCCCGCCGCACAGACAACGGAGATCGACTCCTTCAGTTGTGTGCTGATAATGAACTGCTTCTGGCAAGTACGAACTCAACATAAATATTCGCATCGCCTAACCTGGCGGCCACCAACTGCAAATTAACCGCGGCCCCATTTGGACCACGTGGCCATCAGCCACCGATGGAGAGCCGCAATTTAAGACTGCCGTTCCTTCTGGGGCACACCACTTGATTCCGATCACGCCATGGTGCGTGCACGCCTGACAGTTCGTTTCAGTTCAGACCCCCACAAGTCGACAAGAAGCATGCTAATCCACTAGCTTCGAAGAGCTGCCATAGCTCAACAGTATCGATCCGAGCTAGCCCAACAACTCCCCATAGTAAAACAATACTGTGGTGACAGTGAACATGTGGATGAAGCGTGGCAAAATGTGAAAGGAGCTAGATTAGCAGCCTTCAGTGCTACCTGCCCGACTTCTCCAATTCGACTACAAGACCACTGGATGTCGTCGAGGTCGTTGTCCATGATTGATGCCATGAAAGCCATACCAGCAGGCAACGAGTACGACGGCGCACGCAAATCCCGCAAACGCCAAATAGTGAAGAGTTTAAGGAAAGACCGAGAGCTCTGGTGGACAACGAAAGCTCGGGAGATGGAGAAGGCTTTTGCTATGGGAAACAGCCGTGCCCTTTATCAACTGATACGATCGATTGGCCCAAGGAAAGCAACGGTCAGCAAAACGATAAGTGAAAAAGAGGGCTCATTAATCCAACCGCAAAAACGTCAACTGGAAAGGTGGGCCGAACACTTCGAAGAGCAGTTCAGCTGGCCTCCTGCAACACAGCCGGTGGAGTCAATGCATACGGGCGAATCGAATGTATATCTCGACCGCCCTCCGGAATAAGAAATAAGGTATGGCCATGCTGAAAACTACCCTGGCATCAACCTGTTAGCTGTGGTATCAAAGGTGATCTCTTGTGTTATCCTTCGAAGGTTGACTGAACACAGAGAGAGACAGATCCGTGAAAACCAAGCTGGGTTCCGTCCTAAAAAAGGTTGCATCGATCATAACTTTATCCTCCAACTGCTTCCAGCAACCAACAACGGTTTTTTGAAAGCTGTCTTTGACTCTGTTGACCGCCAAGCACTACGACAGTCTGTGGAGCAAAGGTGTCCCCTGTAAATTCTTCACCCTCATTAGGGCGCTCTAAGCCAACTCCCGCGACCGTGTAAACAACTACGGGAAGCTCTGTGCTGAGTCCACCACATCAAGTGGTATCCGACACCTTTCCTCTTCAACTTCGTCATTGATACGATCATGGAAGACTCACTACCAGCCTCTAATGCCTGTGGGGTCGAAGTGCTCCCTGGGCCTCCGCTCACAGACATCGAGTACGCAGACGACACGGCTTTTCTTGGATCTGACCCCGTGGTGATGCAAACAATATTAATTAATCTAAATAATTCTGCCTCACGGTTCGGCATGCGCTTCACACCTGCAAAGTGTAAAGCGCTACTGCAAGATTGGGTGGGCTCGAACCCTAGCCTCGTGCTTGCGGATGAACCGATTGAGGTAGTAGACAAATCTGTTTACCTGGGCAGCTGTATCAGTCCCGGTGGTCTCGCGAAAGATTAAATTTCCATCCGGATTGGGAAGGCCAGAGCAGCTTGTGAACCTACGTCCCCTGTTGCGTAGGCGTGGCATCAGCTTCTCTGTCAAAGGTCGAGTCTAAAATGCTGCGATGCGCCCCATATTAGTACATGGATCGGAAACCTGGACGTTGCGCGCTGAGGACGGCAAAAGACTTTCAGTGTTTGACCATCGATATCTTCGGAGCATTGCCCGAATCTGGTGGGAACACCTGATCAGCATTGATGAAGTACGTCAAATAGTAGTTGGGAGAAACAACATATCCTCGATAGATGAACTGATCACACTGCATAGGTTGCACTGGCTTGGCCACGTGCTGCGCATGCCAGTTGACCGACTCCATCGAAGAGTTCTTTTTACACAACTACGCGAAGGGTGGAAGACAGTCTGAGGCGGTCAAACAATGACTTGGCAGCGAAGTATGAAAGCCATTACTTCTGTGGGCGAAGTTTGACTCTCTGAGTGCATTGGACAGCGATGAGTGACTTCCAGGGAGTAACACCGCACTGATTAAAACGGAATAAATAGCCGCTAGCTGTGTAACTTGGAATTCTTATCTCGAAAGTTGGATACTTGTCTGTCTCGTGGACCTACGGACAACATACTAGGAGTGTACGAACGTAATTGTACAAAATAAAGCGACTCAGTACACGAACATATGTTGACTGTCATTAGGGTGTACCTGAATCCGACTGATTTGTTACATCCCTCTCGTTGTGCAACTTCATGCTGGCAGGGGTGCCGGGAGTGATGGCGTATGGCCAACTTCGATTATCGGCCTTGAGTGCGCCTTGTGATTGTTACAGGCCACCAAGTCGCTCATAAACAGTCCGGGTTTAAACGACTTGTTTTCTCCGCTCGATTTGAGAGGCATAAGAGGCTAGTGGTTTCAAAACTCCACCCATTTCCCTTCCTCTGGTTCACTCAGGGTCAATGCCATCCAGCTAGCTGAAAACTCGGACCAGCGATCGTATAAGCATCCTGCTTATCAGGCGGTACACAGTTTAGGCAGCTTATCTTTTTCCCGGTCCAAGTAGCACTGGCAGTGCATGGACTCTGATCAATGCCATCATCATCTACTGTTTCTGTATGCAACCATCTTATCATTTGTATTCATTCGGGTCGGTACTTCACCAATCCAAGCAATTCCCTCGCATTGCAGTTTACAAGAACGGTGCTACACTTAACGTTAAAGAAAGCGCGTATCGAACAGCTATTCCTCGGAATACACTTAGGCCGTCTGCGAGAATCTTGGGCACAATAATCCACCAGAGAAGAAGCAGAAAAAAGGTACGGTACCTGTCCCAGAGTGAATTTTGAACTAAGATCGTGATGGATGGAGAACACTGTTGCAGTTTGCCTCTGAAAAGGAACCCGTTGTTTGAGGGTGTGAGGAGTTAGTATAGTATGTAGGCTTTCCCTAAAAACCGCCGAACAATCAGCAGAGCGAATTGTTATGATTCCTTTTGAGAAGCTACCATACGTGAAAAAAATAATTTAAACATGAAAATGTGTCAAACGCACTTCGACTACAGGTTTCGTGACACCAACGATTGGCGGTTCCAAGTCATCACCAGCATCAACGTCTGGCTGTTTGAAGGGTTGAACTTTCGCAGCCTTGAGAGATACCTGAGCGTGAAATCGGGCAAACTCGTTGCGAGACAGGAGGTCCTCGGGCCGATTGTCCTCTACAAGTTTGTTAAAGCTAGGAAAAATGAAAGACGTGACAGTAGCAGCGACTAGGATGAGCACGGAAAGCAGGTGTGCAAATACAAACGAGAACATACCGGCCCTTCATTGGCTTGTTATTGATAAGATACTACGTCAAACGCAACCTGCCTCAGTGGAAGATGCTGGGGCGAATATAAGGGTAAAACAAAGGACAACGAGCTTGTCTAAAGATGGTTCACAACTATCTCTCCACAAAGCCGTACAGGTTGAAGAATGAGTTATCACAGGGTGTTGTTTCTAGTATCGGCGCTGATTCAGCATAATGTATGCATAAAGAACAAAACTTAACAGGAGGTGGCTTATCCATACGGATCTCACAACTCACTAGCCCACTTCGGGACCTGGCCAGCGTCATTCGATCGGGGTAGTGGGAAATCTACTAGCGCATTAGAGTGATCCCTTCATCATACAATGTGGGCCCAGCCCGAGCGGCCAACAATAACGAGCAACTCACCTATCCCAGTTTTGGAAATACAGTTGTGTAGGGGTTTGCAGTAATCGCGTATATACATCAACGGCATTCCTCAATCGATTATGTCCCGTTTCCCAGCT